AACCAAAAGGCGTATTTCTAAATATGTGTACTCTTTTTCCTTCATTAGGATTTTTTTTCCCATAGGTTTTTTTTTTCTAATAAGGTTTTAACGAGGCACATTATTTATGGACATCCAAGGGGGGATGTTATGATAAAAATCAAAATATGGTGGATGTCTACTCTTCCTCCATGATCTTTCTCTCAAATGGTTAATGACATATTCAATGACATATTTTCTATGTTCAATGACATATTCCATGACATATTTTCTTCACTTTTCATGTCTATATAAAGGCCTTGTAATAGATAGGAAAATACACACAATTGAAGAAGAAAATCTCTTCCTTCTCTCTATCTCTATTTCTTGTTCATGTTTTACTAAATTACTTTTATTTCTTGTTCATGTTTTAATAAATTGCTTTTATTTCATAACACATATAAAAATATTGGTGAGATGTTTAGTTCGAACTTTATTAGTGCTACATTAGTCCGACGCAATAAAAAGATTAGCTTCTTTTAAAGGTTGAAGTAATTTCGTTTAAGTACATAGGTTGAGTGAATTTGGAGTTCAAACTTGTCCATAAGAGGTTATAAGGATCAAATAATACTTTATATGGTTCATATTATTCGTTTTAAGAAAAATCACATTATTTTAAGATGATTTTTATTAATTTTAATCATAAAGATATTTTTCTCAAGTATTCACTCTCTTTGACAAATGTCTCACTTAATTATGTTCTAACAATTCGAATAGTAAGGAAAGATCTAGACAATATTTTTTTAAACTAATTAAATATGTTGAAACACGCTTTTTTTTAAAAATGACTAATACGACATGACTAACTAGCTTTCGAAAACGACAACTCTAATTATATATAGGGCCGTTTGGCCACAAGAAATTTTTCACTTTTTTGAAAAAATATTCTTTTTCTTTCGGAACCGGTGTTTGTCCATAAAATTTTTAAATTTTAATTGAAGTTGCATTTCGGAATTTTTCGAAAAATATGAAAATTCCAAAAAGTTGTTTTTCAAAATTTTAACTCAAAAAACTCACAAAAATTTAAAAACAATTCCAAACTGTATTTATGTCCAAACACAACTCTAATTTTTAAATACCATTTTCGCTTAGAGATTTTTTTACTTTTTCCCGAAATTCTTATGTCCAAACGCCCGCATAGTATTCACGCTTCATCTCTAACTCTAGTCATTCTATCATCGGTCACACTCAACTTTTCATTAAAAGATTATCAGATTATTATGAAAGATAATCCTTATAAGAAAAAGCTATGCAACTAATGTGGTGAATCCGTCTGAAAGGAGAAAAATACTCTTTCGAAAAATGATATCAAATTAAGCTAGTGTCTGACCGTAGATTTCCAAATTTGTTTTGAAAAATTTGATTTGGGTGAAGTTTGATTTGAAGATGAAAATGTATTTGGAAATACGTTTTCAAAATATATTTTCCAAATTTATTTTGGAAAAATATGTATATTATTAGTGTTTGTAAAGATTTTGGCTCAAAACCAGCTATTGAGCTGGTTTTGGAATTTGGAATTTGAGATTTTGCCAAAATATAAACAAAATTTGTGGCCAAACATGTATTTGCCAAATAAAACCCAAATTTATTTTGACAAAATCTATAACCAAACTGGTCCGAAGACATTCGAAAAGGAAATATTGAGGTAGAGAGTAGAAATTTCCTCTACTCTATATATCGTTTTGCTAACAAAGGATCAAAAGATAAAAAATTAAATAAAGATATCATACAATAATAGCGCACCCAATAATAGATCCTTTAATTGGTACACCCAACTTTTCTTAGATTAAAAAGAGTAAAAACAAATAAAAATACAAACGAAAACCTTAAACCAATCCACCAAGAAGCAATAGAAAAATATAACCAAAACGGTAAATGGAGTGGTCATCATGTCAAATCCTAAAAGGTAAACATTAATAGCCTGTTTGGCCAAGTTGTAAAAATTAGTTTATTTTGAGAAGTATTTTTTTTCAAAAGTGTTTTTCTTAAAAGTATTTTTGGTGAGAAGCAGTTTGTGTTGGTTAATTAGTTTGAAAAGCACTTCTGAGCAGCAATTAGTGTTTGGCCAAGCTTTAGAAAACTGCTTCTAAGTGTATTTTTTTCAAAAGTGCTTCTCAAAAAAGTGTTTTTAGAGAGAAACTACTTTTTTCTGCTTCTCTAAAACTGCTTCTGCTTCTCCTCAAAAGCACTTTTTTTCCTTCCAAAAGCTTGGCCAAACACATCAATTTTTGGCCAAAAGTACTTTTGGCAAAAAAAAAAGTACTTTTCACCAAAAAGAAGCTTGGTCAAACATGTTATAAGTGGCACACACCCTCAAAGTCACGATACAGAAAAGTCTGCTAAGCCTGATTGGCTTAACTGATAAAAATAGTTGATAAATATACTCTTTTTGTTTTCATTTATGCTAATTTTTCTGGACATAGTATAATTTTTAATTTTTTTTTGAAATAAAATGTATACATAAAAAATACTATAAGTTACAATAATTAATAATTTAAAATATTCTAAAATATTTGCAAAAAAATATGGTAACAAATCTTAATAATAATAGTGCCATATACGATGGCACCGTGGGATATATACTATTACCGTGGATTTGGATACAGTATTTATTATGGAATAATTGTTTATTTAATTTTAATAAAGTCTTAAATAGACTATATACTCGTTTTGCTTATACATTAGATGATTTAGTGTATAGAGCTAAGCTTATACACGAAAAATTAAATCATTTGTTCTTATGAGTATAAAGTTTGAGTTCACAATCTAATGATAAAATGATTGTTGCACAAGATTAAATATAATTTATCTTGATTATGGGAATGGTTAAATTTCGATTTCTTGTACTAGTATATTTTGTATGTATTGAACGGATCATGTAAAGATAAGTATTTTATATTGACTTAATAAAATAATTTTATAGTATATTAAATGTACTTTTACTCCTAATATTGATATAATTATTATTAGTTGTGTATGTTTTTCATTATTTTATTTATGACAAAAAAAAAATTGTGGGTCAACATGCTTGGTAAATTGGACAATAATAATATCTATTGGAGAAATAATAATCAGTTGATGGAATTCATGTTACGATTTTGAGATTAATGATACACCTTTATGAAAGCTTAAGTTTTTATTTGTAAACATGTCCGCTGAATTTTATCAGATACATGAAATAAGTTAAGCAAAAGTTCAAAGAAAATAATTACTAATAAATTAAATTATCAGTATTTTTTATTTAATCGATTAGCATATTAATCTTAACAATGGGAGTTAAATAAGATTTTATGGAAGAATACGAAATTGAACTAATGAGTGTAATTACGAATTTTTAGTGAAATAATTTGTAATTATTATAATAAAGATTAATTTTTGAATTTTCAAATTAATTCCATAAGATGAGCCTTGTTAATTAAATTTTGTGGTTTTATTGTGCATACATAATAGGAAAAAAAATTATTTTTTTGGTGGAAAAGAAAACCCTGCAAGTTTTAAAAAAGGATTTTAACCCTTAAAATACGTGTCATAAAAAGGTTTTTTCGACCTAAAAGGTGGAGGGGGGAGGGAGGGGGGAGGGAGTGGCCGAATTTTACGGTATGTTTCCTAGGAAATTTCACCCACACAAAATTTTCAGATATTATTTGAGTTACACAATATAAGACCGTAGAACGTTTGAGGATCGTGATTGTATTGATGATGGAGATTTTATTGAGTTGATGTAGAATTGAAGGCTCAGGTAATAAAGGAGCTTCGTTCACGCTTCAAGAGTTAACCCGTAAAATTCCGTATGTACTAATTATCTAAATTACACGTGTTTCTAATACTTGAATTGCTTTCACTACTTAATATAATCCATCAGAAACAAAAGGAGTAAATGATTTTATACATAAGTAGTTACACTAGATGAAAGTGTTAAAACGGATAATAAATAGTTAGTGTTTTTGATAGAAAATGTGACATAAAAAAGTAAGCATAACTTCTTACAATGTTAAAGTTTTTTGACAAAAAAACATGCTGGTTTAGCCTAAAACAGACAATATCACATAAAAAATTTGGAAAAGGTCCTGAATTACCCCTCAACTATTAGAAATTATTTAAACTTATCTCACGTTATACTATTGGCTCATAAAAGCTCATACCGTCTTTACTATTGAAACGCATACAACCTTAACTTGATGGACCGGACATGTGACACTCATCCAAGGTTATTGGTCCATGTGGTCTTAAATTAGACTCGCCCCGCCCCATTACTCGCTGCCCGACCCATCAAATTTGACCCTCTCCCACATTTTTTTGTTATACATTGGTTTAGAGTAACTGATTTTATACATAAGCAGTTATATTAAATAGAATTATTAAAATGAATAATAAATAATTAGTGTGTTTGATAAAAATATATTGATAAAGTATCTTTTATGTTACATAAAAAGTAGGCATAATTTTTTACAACGTCAAGTCTTTTTACCAAATACATAAACAAATATATTCTCTCAGTTTAAGTTTTATGTAAATCTATTTTCTTTTTGATCCGTTTCAAAGAGAATGATCAATTTCTAAATTTAAAAGTAATTTAGATTAAAATTACAATTTTATCCTTACACAAATATTTTGGGCCCTTTTATTTTAAAAGTGTTCAATCTTTTCTTAAACTTGGTGCCAGTAAAGGAGGGAGTATAAGTAGTATATATAAAAGAAAAGTGCTGTCAAACATTCCTCTCCCCTGTTTTCCACTATTGTTCTTCCTTTTGGCGTTAAATTTGTGCAGAAACAGTAACCGACACTTTTTCTCCTATGTCCCATAGTCTTTTTATATACTTTCTAGCCAACCCCACTTTCTCTTTCTAATTGGTTATTGCTCTTCTGTTATGTTTTGTTCCTTTTCATAACTTTTACCTGTAACAAAAAAGAAGATAGATTCTCTTCCTAGCTCCAAGAAAAAGGCCAAAGTCCATGTAATGTAAAACACCTTTCTTTTGCCTCCTTTTGCTTGTTTTTTAGTGGGTCTGCCTCAAGATTTTGAATACATACTTGTTCGGAAGAACTAGGAAGGACTTAATATGGAGGCTATAAAGAAGCAAGCTACTAAATTGAGAGAGCAAGTGGCTAAGCAACAGCAGGTTTCCTTTTTATTTACTTTCCCATTAATATACAGTTATACTATTTTTTTTTTTTTGAGGATTTTTGGTACGAGAAGTGATAAGTTATCAAAGGTTTTTTCTTATTTTTATTTTTGGGTCGTCGAGAAAAGTTTTAATTTTGGGAATTAAGGTAATCAAGCTGCTATAGTTAGTTGTTCCTCATTTAAATGGATAAAGATTCCATTTTTATTACTATTATTACATCGTATTCCGAGTTACTGTATTGCTTGATTATTTTGTTTTGAAGTTTATATGTAGCCTGCTAGAATTTTGTTTGTGTAATTTATTTTGGACTTCCTTCAGCGTTTTAGTTTTCCTATAAACAGGCAGTAGCATAGTAGTATATGTTTAAAAAAGAAAAGAATGGAGCCTAACTACCTAAGTAGCTCAGTGAGGATAGTATAAGGATGACGAGTCTAAGAACCGTTTGTGTGATCCATGTAGCAAGGCAATAACATTCTTGTGCTATCAATGAAATTACAAGCTACTAGAACTAGACAGTAGTGAAATTAAGCCGGTGATTTTCCAGTCAAGGGAGGGACATACAACCTAGTGCCGCCATCTCCAACTATATGGATGGGATGTTTGAGTCAACAAGAAAGAGAAGTAGGAATGGGCCACTGTTACTCTCCTTGCTAAGGGCTTTTGGAGGGGATGGAGATTTACCCTATAATCGATAAAGGGTGATTCGCCCGGGAAACTTCCGAGTTATGCTTTTGGCCAAACATGTTGAAGTATCACTAATTGCATGGTCTCTATGAAATGCATGAGTAAAATTAGTTATCTTTGGAGCAAGTAAGTGGAGAGGGCGGGGGAATGACGAGGGAACTTGTTTGATTTACTTCCATTTGGCGAAGTAATTATTTTTCTCCTCCTGTTGCTTGGTACCCTTAGTTCCCTTTTATTTCCTACCCGAAAAACCTTATTTAGGTACTTAACAGGGAGGTGTAAGCCCCGAAAGCCTCTGGTATATTGGTAGGGCAAGAGGCCCTTAGACCCCCAAAAAATGGATTGAAGCCCCTCGATTTCGATAAAAATTTCCTGTTTGCTGTTTTAAGTTGGAATTTGTGACCTTGATTATATACTAAAAGAAAATATGTATGTAATAATACAAGAAGCAGTTTTTATTGAACTAAGGTTTAGCAATGAAGTAGAAAGAACCCTATGCAAAAATGGGTTTATTACATGTAGGAAGTATTACTAGAATATCTTTTGCTTGTTACTGTTAGCGATCTATCTTTCTTGGCTCATCTATGAATCTGAGCCAAGGTTATTGCATAAGTAGCTGGACTCAAATTCTCAACTCAAGTTCAATATTAAACAAGTAAAGCCCAGACTTGTGAGATCATATGCTTGGGTCAGACTAGAATGGTAGTTCTTTAAAACATAGTTCAATGAAGATATCTTATGTAGGTTCTTATCATCTGTTATGAAAGAACTCATATTCTACTTTTTTTTAGGCTATTTTGAGACAATTGGGGCACTTGGGCCATGAATCTGTGATGGTTGACGAAGCAGAGCTAGAGATTCATCAGCGGCTTCAAGACTTATATATGTCTACAAGGGCTGCAAAGGTAACACCAATACAATTTTGTTAATGATTTTTTGTCTATTAATAAAGTCCTCAAACTCAAAGAGGTGAAATAGGGTCCCAATATATATGTAAAAAGCAGGTCCGGTGATACGCATTCTTAATCCTAAATGGAATGCAGGTAGGGATCCATACGTAAACAAAGTATCTATTTAGATAGGCCCGAATGATCCCTTCTCATAATGAGGAAGCGTATAACCCTATTTTGGCTTGGTCGGTATTGAATGAACTTATACTCATGGAATCGACTCAATTATCAGCTTTTAAGTTCATACCCTAACCCGTTCCGATATTGGGTGGAATAACTTTACTGATCCTTTGATTCCTGTTAAAAAAATTCTATTAAAGATAGTCCTCTTGGTAGCAGCATAAGGATCACAAAACTAACTTGCTGCGTTTTGTGCTTAACAGCATTTCCAGAGGGATATTGTTCGGGGTGTAGAAGGATATTTATCAACAAGTAAAAAACAAATGGAGATAGGTCTGTGGACCTCCATCCATATCTTATGTATATCTTATGTTGCTTCTGTTATTTAGCATATTATATGGAAGTCTCAACTTTCAGCTTGATCTTGCAGCTAGAAAGTTGTCCGAGAATTGTTATAAATATGGGTGTGAGAATCAAAATGGTCCGTCTACCTTGCCAAGGATTGCCGTGGAATTTGGTACTTCACATGCTGCAATGGAAGATCAAAGAGAAATTATGCTTGGAGTTCTTGGACAACAGGTTAGATCAATGCCTGTTTAGCTTTACAGTCATATCCACTCCAAATGATTTCCCTCAAAAAGGTTATTATTGTTGTGTAGATTGAAGAAGGTCATTTTTCAGTCTTTTCCCACCATTTTTACTATTTTGCCTCATTTTCTTGCAATGGGAGTTGTGATGTGCTGCAGAGGGAATCAGAAGCTTGCTTTATTTATGAAGATGTTGCCTACCTGTTGTTGTGGGAGTCAATATGCTTTCTGATGTTAAGATATATACAATAATTATGGATAGGTTAGAAGGAAGAATCTCTAGAGACCATCGAGACAGCATAAAACAAACACAGACATGCATAAGGTCCAAAATAGTGCACTTCTCACTCTTTGTGCAATGCAAAAAGAATAATGTATCAGTAAGAACCGAGGTCTAATCCATTATCAAAAAAGAAAAAAGAACCAAGGTCTAATCATTTTTTAAAAACTTGAATGCATTATGTGCCTGGCAGAATACGATAATTCAAGCGCAAAGCAATCTGTTTCTGATGTCTAAACAAAACAAAAAAGGAACAAATAGTCAGGTATCCTTGACATATCATATGATGCATTAAAGTAGGTCAAGCACATAATTTTTTCTGATATGAGAGCATTTTATCTGGGGTTCTTATGGTTAGATTTGGAGAGATCTATTCACTCCTGAGAGGTTAAAACTTGCAGATGCTTTTAGCAATTCATTTCATATAGTGAACTAAAGTGATCTTTATTGATGAGTCATACACCTCTAATGACAAGATACCTGAAGTATGAATCTCTACTGCTTTTAACCCAAGATGTGATGTAGGTGAAACTGTAAAATGGTATAACTTAATGAACCTTCCTCCAGTATTAATATGTATTGTGCATTCTAGTATTTCTTTCTGGATGAGTCTTAGATGTGGCATAATGACTTTTCGTTGTTGTGGCCATTTCTTGGTTCCAAGAGCGCATAGTGTGTGACCATTTTTCCTTTTAGCTGTAGGTTTGTGAGCCGTTAAGAGCATCAATACATGGTGCTCCTTTAGAAGATGCTCGCCATTTGACTCACCGTTATGACAGAATGCGCCAGGAGTTTGAAGCCCAGGTATCTTTCAACTTTTTTTGTTTTTTGGGTTGGGTTGATGGGTTGGGCTGGTGTAAAAGCTTGTTTATAAAATAAAAATAAAAAGAGAGTAAGGAAACAGAGGGATCTGTCCCTTATATCACCAAGGAATGTACCCCTACAATCAGCCGATCTTTACACCCTTTTCAATGAGGTCGTAATCAATTCATGCAAGAATTCTGGTAGTTCTAATTGGCTTCCCCTGCTCTTTTTAGGCTGCTGAAGTGATAAGACGCCAATCAAAGTTTAGAGATGCTTCTACTGAAAGTTTGGCAAAGCTTAAAAATGCAGAAACAAGATTGTCGGAGCTCAAATCTTCGGTGTTGGTTCTTGGCAAAGAAGCAACTGATGCCATGTTATCTGTTGAGGAGGACCAGCAGCAGATTACTTTCCAAAAGCTTCTTACCATGGTATTGCTACATTCAATTCGTGTATGTTCTGACATCACAATGCGTTTTGGGTAACCTTAACTGCTTAGTAAAATGACCTTAAATTGATAAATTTATGTTTGGGAATTTTATTTGCTAACTTCGGTCATTTGAAATGAAAGAACACAATGACATAAATATGAAACTCAAATATCTGGGATACCTAGTCCTAATCAAATTTTCCCTTCAGTTCTGAATGTGTTAAGAAAATAAATAATATCGGTTGTAACGACCTTTTCATGATTTCCACTTGACTGATCTTCAGCAATTGGAGATCCCTACGTACTTAGCTATTTTGTTTAGCTTGAGAACACTTATATCGTTGCTTTCTACTTTTCTTCCCTATTAATAATATTAATGTTCTTGTCTGCATTATTTTTTCTCTGCATGGATCACTTCCAGTTGAAATCTGTACAACTCTTTATCTAAAAATGATTTTAGCTTGCAGGTCGATGCTGAAAGATCTTATCATCAGAATGTTGTTGCCATTTTGGAGAAGTTGCATTCTGAGGTCTGTAGATTCAAACCTTTTATTTCCTCCAAATCATGAGAATAAAACTATTCTATCAGGATTTTTAGTTTTCTCTAAGCTGGATAGAATAGTGAACTTCTACCTTGAGACAAAATGAGATAAACAAGGCGATCACAGAAATATATAACATTTTTTTCTTGGAGTCAGATGCTTGAAGAAGAGCAACTAAATGGGTCATCCCCGCAGTCTTCAAATTCAGAAAGAGTTTTGCATGATACAACTGCAAATGGAACTGAGCATCCAAAAACTGAGGATAAAAGTCCTACCTATTTTATTGCAAAGGTAAGGCACTCTTTAAAGAGTTGGCATATTTACTTCTACAGAATACTCCTTTGTCCTCTCAAAATCTCAATATTCTTTGATCTCCTTGATTCTTTGGCGGTAGGTTATACACTCTTTTGATGCCCAAGCAGATGGTGAGCTAAGTCTAGAGGCTGGCGATTATGTGGTAGTTCGACAGGTAAATATCTTCATTTCTAATTAAGCAATAGAGACATTACACTGCCTATATGACTGCTGCTTGATATAACTATCATGTCTTATTTTTTGTGTTTTGGATGCTTAAGTTGACATTTTCTGGAGTACCTTGACGGTATTTAACATCAGTTTCAGAACTTTCCATTTGGTTCCAAGTCTTGCATACTTATTGCTCCACGATATGTTCATAAGCCTAAGAGCTTTTCTAACTATGGGGGTAGATATTAAACCGTTCACTTTTTGCAAGAACAAGTGATGCCGAAACTGTACATAAGGTATTGTCATCTCTCCATTATCAGTCAAAATCCAAAACTACAGGACACTGGCCTCTTGCTTTGTCGATGTCCCTTTCAGTTAGCCAGTACTAACAGTAGTAATTGTAGGAACTAACAATATGATTCATCAAATCCTTCTAAATGTTAGGGAAGTCCCAATTTAGATCGAATATGGTGGTAGACTGCTGTTGATTGTGGACATATTATTATATAGTAGGTTAACTATTGCCCTCCTTTAGTTTAAAATAGCCAACAGCAAGTGAGGGGCTTAGACATTTCCCTTCTGAAGTTGCCGCCTTTAACTTTTGAATATGCTGAACCAAATAAACCTGCTGAGATCCCCTGCTATCTGACTGAAGATTGGTGTGGATAAGCTAAAAAAGTGCTGGTTATAAAAGGTGACACTAGGTAAAATTATTTCCGAGCCGAGGGTCTATGGGAAACGGTCTCTCTACCTTACACAAGGCAGGGGTAAGGTCTGCGTACACCCCACCTTCCGCAGATCCCACTTGTGGAATTATACTGGGTATGTTGTTGTTGGTTCCATCTTCTGAAGCCTTGGTGGGTAGAGTTACAATTGCCTTTGCGCTAGTGGGAGATAGCTGGTATCAAGTGGACTAGTCAAGGCGCATGCAAGATGGACCTGACCACCACTGTATCCCCACCCCCCACCTCCACCCCCATGAACACACAAACCTAACAACAAAAAGGTGCTAGTTATATGACCCCGAGGATCATAAATGAAGTCGACTCTGGTTGACTAATTGATGTGATAGGCCAGAATTAGAATATGAGTGTCAGCGGCAAGAGCTGGTTTATTGGCGCCATATGTTGTTGGAGGTATCTCAAATTTCTGTTGCAAGTTTGGTTGCAACAATACATTTATTTCGTGAAGCCATGTCCCTTAGTCTAAGGAGAAGGGAAGCTACATTGTACGTCTGAGGACTTCAACACTTGGAAATGTCGCTCTGTAGGCTGCACATTATTGATTTGACTGTGGATCAAAATTATTACAATATGTCCTCTTATCCTTTACATCTTCCGTTGCTCATGACTTGAGACATTGTAACCGTGTGTTGTTGCATTGCTTTGTTCTGTTGATAAATTTCCTATTGTCGATTACCAAAGAGATGCTTCTCTAGGATACAACTTTTTAGCGAGCAAAATATGTTAAATTGTATTAAAATTGCGGATATAATGGGATTCTTGTTACAATAGGTAACTCCAAATGGATGGTCTGAAGGAGAATGCAAGGGTAAATCCGGATGGTTCCCCTCGGCTTATGCTGTAAAGTCAGACAAAGTAGCAGCAAGCAAAATGGTGGAAAAGGATACCACGCCATGAAACGCTACTATCAATCTCTTTTGTAAATTTCCACTTGTATAGGTATTTAAGGAGTTTTTGGTTTTGCTATTTTTTCTCCTGATGTAAATGCATCATAGCTTATGATCAAGCTTATTATTTGCTGATGTCCCAAGATCAGTGTTTTTATACAGGAAAATGCGTTGTTTACGCTTGTATTTTATAAATGTTATGACTAATTTTAGATTTTAATTCCATCTGGTCCTTGAAGGAAAAGGAAAGAAAAAAGAAGAAAATTACTATTTTGACAAGAAATGAACTATGTTTATTGAAGTATGCGTGGTAATATCCGAGGACTGGGTATTTCCCAACGCCAAAAATTGGATTGCCTTTACCCAGTAATAACGTTTATAGCTTAAATTACTTACTTTTTATGTCTTTATGAAATGAATAATGGTTAAAATTAGCTCTTAAGTTTAACTTATGGAGTAATCCATTGCTTGCATAACATAAGAAACAAGAAAATTAAAGCGAAGACTGTGTGCACACATTACTATCTCCAGACTCCAAATGGATGTTTATAACTATCTTCAAATTGATAAATTTGAGAAAATTCTGCATTCCGCCAGAAAAATTTTGAAGAGTCATTCCCCAAATTTCCGTTTTTTAAGCTTCATTTCTCCTACGAGTAAAGTAATTTCCCTTGAAGTGATCCTCAAAATTACTTTATCACACGGAGTGTTTAGATTATACGAAGCAAGAGTCATGCATAAAATTGAGAATAAATAGCTTTAACCATAGTTTAGTATGTGACTGACTTCTTGGCACTCTACTCTAATTACGTTTCTAAATAACACCAGAAAGTCACTAAACTCCTTTCCTCGGGAGCATGCAACTTGTATCAATTGCATATTATACATAAAACTCATGATTACCATGATGTCCTAGATTCAATCAGTCCACTAAACTCAACGAGGCAACAAAATCCTTATTATTACCTAATGATCCTAACTCACCTTTCTATATTTGTTTCTTCAGATAAACCATGAATAGTGGATGAGGAATTCACATTAGGCTAAAACCAATCAGTTTTCATGTAATATATGTCATTAAGACAATTCAATTCACTGTAACTTGGTCTTCTTTTGTTGTTGTTATCTTCATGTGCAAAGCTAAGATAGATATTCAAATCTTTCTTTTTAACTAAAAAGTTACCTTCATCTTTTCAATATGCCTTTCTTGATAAGCATAAAGATTCCTTTCTATTACATTTGGTTGTCTTTCTTCTCCCTTTCATAATCATGCACCGATTGTTTTTTTACTTTTCTTTTTCTGGAACGGGAAATACCAGCAACTTTCAATTGACAATTGTCATCATAAAGAGAGCTGTTCCGCTTTGGATTTCACTTATTCTGATTGACATAATCAAACAGCTACAAGAAAATAAGTAAAACCCTCAGGGGTGGTTGGCTTGATGGCAATTGACTTGAGCCTTGGGGTTTGCTCCCTTTCAAGGTCTCAAGTTCGAAACCCACTGGGTGCAAACAATTTCTGAGGGCCATCGGACTGGGTAAAACCTGAATTAACCGTGGTGCAATTGCGGAAAACTCCTTGCCGAGGGCCTATGCACCCCGGGAATAGTCGGGGCTCGAAGAGACTCGGACACCCGGTGCAAATCAAAAAAAATAATAAGTAAAACCGGGAATCAATAAAATAAAATGTAGCATGGAAAGTTGTAGTAATTAGGGAGATAAGAAACTCAAGACTCGAGATTGGCTGGCTAAAGTAGCCCCTTGTAGTACATTATTTACACTCTGCATCCAATCAAACACCAAACACAACAGCCTAATACTACTAGAATGAGAAGCTCCCCATAAAATTCCACGCGATATAATTCATTTCATGACATTAATAAGTACCACTGCAAAAGAGATTAATAGAAATAAAATAGAAAAACAAAAATACTTGTATTCAACTGATAAATCAGCTATTGTGGGGAAACATAATTTACAAAAAGGAGGTAGATGCAAAATCAATTCAATCGTTTCCATATACAACTATAACAAGGCTACAAACAGAAAAGCAAATGAAAGAAAAAGGGTTTGATTGCTCATACCACTCGTACAGATTCCGTTCCCCTGGCGAAATGAAAAGCTCAATGCACCAGAGCAAAATGATGAAATCAAAAATAGAATTAAGCACGCTTAACCTCGTGATAACTAGCTGGAAACTCTGAATTTGAGGAATGATGACAGTTGAAATGGTCTTCTTTTGTCAAAAATCTGCAGAAAGAATCGACAAATAGAGTAGAGAAAAGAATCTTTGCAGACTTTAAACCCCCAATGCTTGCATCACTCAATTTATTGCATGAAGTTGCAGATGCAAACTCAAAGGTTAACGTTCTTTGCATCCAGCAATAGCGCATTCAATCAGAGTTTGAATCATAGAAGTCACTGGGACATGGTGTCATGACTTCAGATTCAAGAATCTGAACAACCCTGTGCATGGTTGGCCTGTCATCGGGGCTTGAAGAGACACACTGTGTGGCAACTGAAAGCAGGGCATCAAGGCTTTCAGTCTGTACTCGTTCACAATGTGGATCAACTATCTCCATTCGTCTATTCTCAGATGCGAGAAAATTCAGCTGCACGATGAATATAACAAGAGTTTAGAAGACCAGTGATCTGAATAAAATACCTGGAATGCCAGCTATATGATCTGTTCGTCCTACTCTGGCAGGATACTTCACAACAAAAAGTGAAAAATTCTTTCACAAAGATGTAGGGTTAATTGGAATGACGTTTTACCAAATGATCCAAATAGTCTTGGGTTTTCACATGATTAGATCAAACTATAACAAAACTACCGATAAAATTTTGAACTCTTAATATTGATTTAATCAGTGACACTATTCAGTTTAGTCAGGTGCATATGACAATGATAGGTCTTTATTTAAGATGACTAAATTTTTATTATTTGTTGTAGATGTTAACATTATTTTGGTGCACAAACATTATTCTCCTTCAGGCTCTTGCCCATCCTTACCTATCTGGAAAAAATAAGGTTCACCATCATTCCTCATGCTCCTATTTAACATTCTTTAGTTCATTTTGCTTCAACTTTGTCCTTATTGTCCCTCATATATTTCATGGATTAATGACCACCAAGACTATTGCTGCTTAGCCTGTTTGGCCAAGCTTTTTTTGGGCCAAAAGTGCTTTTTTTTGGCCAAAAATTGAGGTGTTTGGCCAAGCTTTTGTAAGGAAAAAAAGTATTTTTGAGGAGAAGCAGAAGCAGCTTTGGAGAAGCAGAAAAAAGTAGCTTCTCTCCAAAAGCACTTTTCTGAGAAGCACTTTTGAGAAAAATACATTTAGAAACAATTTTCAAAAGCTTGGCCAAACACTAATTACTGCTCAAAAGTGCTTTTCTCATTAATTAGCCAAACACAAACTACTTCTCACCAAAAACACTTTTTTTAAAAGTACTTTTGAGAAAAGCACTTCTCAAAATAAGCTGATTTTAGAAGCTTGGCCAAACGGGCTATTATATTGTTGCACAACTATCATCACCGTTTGTCTCAAGTGGAAGTTTTACCTCAACAATTACCATCTTTATTGATTGTCTCAAGTGCAAGTTTTACCATAATAATTTTGTGCTCATACCCAGTCCAGTCCTTATGCAGTCTCAACTAATAACCTCTTTTTTGCTTTTCTTTGAGAAACTAACCGACCTCTTTTTGCTTATTGTGTCCAAACTTGCAGCTTAAAACACTCAATCACGTCAAAACTTAAAGGGGTCAAGTTGGAATTACTTGTCCAGCAACATGCTTCCCTCTACCTCCTTCCCTTGGTAATATCATTCTCATCTCCCCCCACCCCCCACCCACAAACCCCCAAGGAGTAATGCAGTAATTGCAAAATCAGTGAGAAGAGGAACTGGAAGGGAATTGAGGTTGGGGCAAAACGTGGCAGTGGCAAATGTAGCTTTTCAGCCTTACGCCTTTAAGATCTCACAAGATGCAAATGTGTGCTTTTGATAGATACTTGCACTCCAATAGGCAACATTTTCCAGGGATAAGGATACATCAGTTAAACAAAATATTACAATGAACTCTTTAGTGCAAACATTTAAGATGATATATGTTTTTTTTTTATGAAGCAAGGTGTTCCATTAGAAAAGCATTAAGAAGATGCATAGTTACATAGTTACAGGAGGCCCAGTACATTTAAGATGATATATGTTTGTTATTCTTTCAGACTTTCAGTAATTTCAACTTTGCCCCCAGTAGGGACCCCTCAAGTGAAGTTCACATGCATCTCTGCAGTTTGGACTCTGGTAGCCAAAAAGAGTGAGATCGTGATTAATTATGTGCATAACTACAGATAAAGGTCGAACTATCAAATTGTGACATATATTAAGACTAATTTATGAATTTAGCTATGTTTAGATAACCGATTAGCTTTTCACTAAATATTTACTCTTTGCATCAATCACTATATAGTGGTTTTGGGTTGTCACCAACTTATGCTATGTATGTTAGGTCATCCTTATGTTCTTGCTTTAGGAAGAAACACATACTTCGTTACAGTGAAAAGAATATCAGAGATGATTAACTTAGCAACTTGAAGAACGTCCATTTTTTCTCCTTAGCACCTTTAATTCAAGGAGCAAATTTCATCATTGCAGTTAAGTAGACCATTCTTGTCTAATTTGCTATTCTCACATACCTTTTGAATTACAAAGACGCTTTCTGAGTTGAATCACAGTGGAGACATCCTATCTAGACCCTTATGGATTAGATTTATATATATGTTCATCAGATTTTCCCAATAGCCTTAACCTTGCCAATAAATAGCGATAGTCACATTTGTAGCTTTAAAAAATAAAGTAAACTACCCCGCAAAGAGAATGTCAGGAATTTCAACCAAGAGAGAGAATAAACTAAAAATATTAGAAGTAAGATGTCATTAATGACATAACATACCCAGCCAACAATATTGAAGCCCTTCTCAATATATGATGCATCAGTGGGCCGCTTTCCACTTATGACTTCAAGAACCAGAACTCCAAAACTATAAACATCAGTCTTTTCTGTAGCCCTACCACTCTGCATGTATTCTTGAAAGAAAAAGTAGAAGAGAAAAGAAACACATAAGCTGTAAAACAAGCAACAAACAACTAGATACCTCAAGTGCAGCAGAAATCATTAGCCCAAAGTGAAAGCATACAAAATCAGATTTATGCATGGCACTGCAAGGAGAACTTTCTTTTTACAAGGTAAATAATTTATTAAAACTAAAATTTTAAGCACCCAGATAACCTCTCATCACATGTTACAACTTCTTATTTTTTATGAAATCATCATATCTTACAACTTGATGCAGCAGAGATGTGCATTAAAACATTATTTCCGATGCCTCACGTCAAAACTGCCCCTCAAGACAAACTTTGAAATAGAACCATTTTCTCCCCCTCCCTCTGTCATTCAACTAGGCCAAATATGATCTTTTGTCAATATCAAGAAAAATAAGCATGTAAGAAATCAGAGGGTGCAACATCTACAGTCAAAAGCAGCAACCATCTTGTACTTGAAAAGAAGTAGCAAAACCTGATTAAAGAAAGAGGAAAACCAGACAGCTCTCTCCCCAATCTCAACTATTACTAGCGACAGAAAGTCATTCCTTGCATAGTTTAAAATTACAACTTCTTAAATAAAAGATGAAGATAAATGTCTAATCATGGGGTGTACCTGGAGCTAAATACCCAAATGTGCCAGCTACAATTGTTGTGATGTGAGACTCCTCATCTCCGAGTAATTTGGCCAGTCCAAAATCAGATACTCGAGCCTCAAAATTGCCATCAAGCAAAATGTTGCTAGCCTTTATGTCACGGTGGATTACTCGAGGGGAACAATCATGATGTAAATATGCCAACCCTTTCGCAGCTCCCATGATTACAGTTAGCCGTGCACCCCAGTCTAGTTGCTCAGATCTCTCTGAATAAGATGTCAAAAACGATTTTTTTATGGAACCGAAAACAATAGCCAAATCTAAAACTCTCTACCCTGGAGATACAAATAATCTGAACAGCAATAGCAATTTAAGAAGATGAACTAGCTTAAAGGAATGTCATCTTTTTTGTTGTTCTCTTTGCTTTCCGCCCTAGACGCTGAAAGCAAATGTCATGTCACTTTCCACATTCCTAACATGACGGTCATTTTGTTACTTTATTGGATAGAAGAACACCGAATCAACGAGATACTCAACCATTTTGACAATTCATTTTTTTCTTTTTGCTTGGTATACATACCAAAACTATGGATAAAAATTAGCTAAACATTACTACTGTACTGTCATGTATGTATGAATGTGGTTCTGAGGCACAATAGCTGCAAAGGATAGCGCTGCAAGCTAGCTAACTGGTAAACTAAACCAAAGGAGTTCAAGTGTAAATTAAAAGTTACTTATAAAAAGGATGTCTATATTCAAAGTTCTACAGCAGTATTTACATAAATATAGAGCACATATGAAACATCAATGACGCACTAACAGATTCTTTGGTGCCATCAGAGCTTCTTGGTTAGCTAGGAAGTTACTCTCCATTATTCTAAAGATACAAACAGTTAAATTTCCTAGACACAAAAACATTCCAGAGTGACATCTGCACCATCCAAATGTGTAAACCATTCTACTCTATTACTTAGATTAAAAGGTAAGAGATTTATGCAACCAAGCCAATGGGTACTAATCCATGTACGTTTAGAGCTGCATTAGGACAACAAACGCAAAGCTTAGTCAATGCCATTCAGAAACTTTCTCCAAAGGCTGACAATACTTTTCCAATCAATTGCATATCAAACACTGCTTTTACAGCATTCCCTTCTGTCCATACAATCTGCCAGACTTTTTGATACAATATTTCACTGGTTGGATCAATCAAAATAGCAGTACAAAGTGATTCCTTATCATAATTTATTCGGTTCTGTCCTCGATGAACCTCTTTATACAAAATCTGTCAGTTTAATTGGGTTATCGAAGTGGCAAGTATTATGAGAATAACTTGGTCTGTTTATGAATGTCTACTGTTTAAACGTCTCATGGCACTTTAGTGAGCTCATATTAATTAGCCAAGGATATTATTACCATTACTGTTACTGTTAGTAGATTGCCCTTGTTATCTCCAACTGAGCCACACAACCCTAAGTTCAATCAGGTGCTGTACAGGGAAGATAACCAACCCTGTTGTGCTTTGAAAAGTCAAAATTGCTAAAATCTCAAATATTTGCCAATTAGAAGAGAAAAGCCAGAAATTCTCAGCAAAACCCAGCTTATGTGCTAAATCCGGAAAATAACAAATATTTTCACCAATTGTTAAGCACCGGGACATTTTACAAAGGACGTATATCTCACCGTGCAGAACTTCATCTAGGCTACCTCCGGATAAGAAGTCATATATCAACAACTTCGATGTTGGAGAATTGCAATATCCTCGCAGATTTACCAGATATCGGTGCTTAATGCTTCCAAGAATTTCCAGCTCCCTCTCGAAGAACCTATCAAAGCCTTCATTCATCTTGATAATTCTCTTCAAGGCAAATACATTGCCGTCATCCATTGCAAGCTTGTATACAGTTCCAAATCCCCCAGAACCAATTATGTGTTCTCCATTCAGAGTCTCCAGCTTTTTGATGATATCCTTTGAAGAGTAGGGCAAATCTCCATGAAACATGACAATCGATGCACCTGAGAATTTAATAATTGTAAGCCTTTTACATGGAATTTAAAAGCATAAAGCAAATAAAGATGAAGAACTTTAGAATTGTAACTTCCACATAGGTTCTAGATAAAGACCTGCACAAACATCCATTGCAAGGCTTTTGCCATCATTTTTACCCAGTCTCTTGTAGAGGAAACAGCCCCAGAAACACATCAGTGCCACCAATAGCAGAGCACCCACAGTGGCAGATGCACTTATCAGTAGTCGACCATTCTTACTTTGGTTTTGGGCTGAGAAACATGGAAAGAAGTATGAGATTCACCATGAAACATGAATGGAAGGAAGTGAAACAAACGATGAAAGAAAACAGGGAAATTAAAAAGCAGTAGAAAAGGCTACACGTCCAATGACAAGTAACTATTTCATCAAGTCATGCTGTCAACATATAATGGTGCTGCTTAAAACTATGAAGTCTGCACACTTATGTGATTCCACCAATTGAAGTAAAAAGTTTTCTTGTTAGCCTGACAGATGAACAAATCCTTCACAAATATCATTTGAAATTCTAGTCAACAGAAATTACACAAAAACAAAAAACATGTCGTAGATGTTGCAGTACCATGAATTACCTTTACATATCTTAAAAGTGAAGAATACGAAGATACTTACCAAAAAAAATGTATGCTAGATCTTTAATTTTTAGAAGAACAAAGAAATCTAGAATGTGAACTCCTATGAAGATAGAGGTGCTTCGTTTCCAACAATGACATTACTGCAGTTAAACCATTGTCATGTTCTTTTGTCTACTTGATATAGGAAATCCAGAAAAGGACAAGTTGTTGTCTTTGGCGGCCGAAACACCAGGAGCTGTTTTTTATGACCGAGAAATATGCCTGGGGCCAATCCTTAGGTTCAACCACAGCCTTTGAAACTCAGGGATAATGGGCCCACCCCTCCACCACTTCTCCAATTAAATACCAGGCTTAATTCGCATGGCGGATGGCTCAACCCTGTGACCTAAGTCACAAGTCCCTCAACCTTTGTCACTTGACCTAAGCCAAGGGGCAAAGAATTCTGTAACTAGGAGTCCTTAATCATCTGAGAAATGATTCTGTGGATATTGATATATGCACTCTTATAGACAAAAAAATTGGACTTGATATCTGACTAGGATTTAATGCTGATAATGTGTCACCTTTACCTGCAACTGGGGACCGGGAAAATGAAGGACCTCCAGCTTTACAGTCCTGACTGATTTGCTGGCCACACAAATTACGATTTCCAAGAAATCTGCCATAAATTCGAAAATCAGAAATCATGTAAAACCAAGCCAATCGGTGCTTAAGTCGTCAACTACAATTGTTAGGTCAAAATCATATCAGGCAGCCATTTTGTGCACATGCAATCCACTACAAGTCTCACTCCCCTTTCCAATGATGGGTACTAATCAANCAAGGTGTCCATCAGTAGGTATTTGCCCAACCAAGAAATTTGTCGACACGTTGCTGCAAACATTGAACAAAAAATATTAATTCAGAGGTGTAACCCAACCTCACCCCTCAAATAAACGTTTTGCACTTTAAGTTATTGGCAGGTTAAAACTTTTAGGGCACTCACAAAGAGACAAGATTGTTCAGCTTGCCAAGGGATGGTGGAATGTTTCCGCTAAGAGAGTTGCTTGAAAGATCTCTGGCAGAAGTTAAAAACCAACATCAATTGGTTGTACTGTAGGAGTAATTACTAAGGCTCAACAATCTATCACATGCGTAGAATTGAGACAGATAAATAAGTTCTGCATTAGAAGTTACAAGCTCTTTTTTATAAGGAAAAAATGTTCACCCAGACTAAATCAAGCTCTCAAATGTAAAAATCACAAGGTAAAATGTCACTCTTTCCTGTGTCAAAGCCGCTCTATTTTTACGATAAACTGCTCATAAAAGCCTTATATTCCTCAATTAGGTTTCTCTCCATTACCTGGAAGAGTACAGAGGTAAAGTATGCATGACTTTTCTTGGCTCTTTAATGTTAAAAGAAAGGTTGTATTGGTCTAGAAAGAAAAACACTAATGACTCCAAGAACCACATCCCTAAGATATGACAGACAGAGAAAAAAATCAGTTGACATGTTGGTCCCTCTTCACTAGAAATCCTGAGAGCTAATTCATGAAATCCTCCAGTTATCTGATACCACAATGATGCTAGAGTGTGACTACCAGTAATTGCATAAGTATAAAAGATGACACCACCATGAGACCCACAAGTAACTCCAGACAATGGAGCATGACAATAGAACAAATGAATCTCCAGTTGTCTCGCGTTTCGTAGGCTCTTCATACTAGAGGGAGGGAAAATGCACAAGAAGAAGGGTGTTCAAATTAGCAAGGAAGATGACAGGATCCCAGGGCAGAGGCTGGGACATTTAGGAGAATGGAATGTTGTATGTAGTAACAATCAACATACGAAAGATACACCTGCATAATTAAAGTAACAAGCAGAATAGAAGCTCATACAGGAAACATACAGTTGGATTGGAGTTTGTGTAAGATGAAGGGACAGGCAAAAGCATGATTATGGGCATTAAGATGAAAGGGTAGGAAGAAATTGATAAAGAAAACCTAAAGAAGGGCTGATAGTAAGTAGTAGAACCACGGAGCAACAAGAATCTAATTGCAATAATAAGTTTTTGTTTTTGTTTAATTGTTGTTTGGGCTGAGGGGGATGGAGAAAGGGGTAGGGGATTACATAGTGGGGACTTGAACCTTCCCCCTATAATGGCGGAAGGCGTGTAAGCTCACCGGGGTATTAGGTTAGATAGCACAAACTGTCAAAAGTCAAAAAAAATTGGGAAAAGGTTGTATATTTTATTCGAGGAATGTCTACATAATTATAGATATTTTGGTTACATAGGTACAGTCATCCACGAAACCTAAATGTTGTCCAAATGCATCATGCTTACTTATGCAGATTAAGGTGAATGGATCGTATAGGAGATTGAGACCTGCAGAACAGCATGCACAGAAAATAGAATCAAAATATGAGACACAAAGTCTTACAGATTCTCAAGCTCAGGAAGGTTCCCCAACTCATCAGGAATCCATCCGCTTAAATAGTTACCCTGTAGAAACCTGCATAAAATATTATAATTCCTAACAAATTAGCTAACTTGTACAGTAATAACTTTGTAATTTGAAATTCTAAAACAACGCCAACAAAAAAGCCGCTCAAACCTCTCTTGAACATATCAAACCGAAATACGGATTAAGTCTGTTCTATTTTACATATCAAGATTAGTAGCATAACAAGGACTATAACATCTAGCAATACCAAGCTGGTTTTGCAATATGAAAGGAGATAAAGTGATTAATCTTATACATGAACTAGAAAGAGTGTGATGATAAAATGTGGACAACTCTTTATAAAGATATTGAATTTTGCACTCAACTTTTTTATGCTCGAACTCCATAAAACAGAATGCCAGCTTTACCATTTGTACAAGTATCGCTATTACTTAGCAAAAGGAGGATCAACCATAATACAAAGCATAAATTCTACGAATAAACAAACTGATCATAGAATTCCAGGGTTAAGTAATGCAACTTCCTCCTAAAATTGAGTCATGGGAATATGGTGTGGTTCAGGCTTAGTACGATTCAGATGATAGTGAGGTTACGGGGAAGAAGGAGATGGGAGGTGGGACTCTGGGAGCTGAGGATAGGGATATTGTATCCGCAGGGAATCCTCAAATAGCATGTAAACTATGTTGAAGTTCTTTCTATTCACTCAAGTGCATATCGCAGAAACTCAAGCACCTCAATAAATGAAGAGAATTAGATATGCAGGTTTCGCCAAAGAAGTGCATTGCATAACTTACAAAGATTTCAGTTTTGTACAATTTCCCAATGCAGGAGGTATTGTCCCATAGAAATTATTGTCATGAAGAGCTCTGCATTTCGGTAGATTGTGTTAGCATAGTATAGTGGGACTGACAACAATAGAAACGTGAACAGAAGGAAATGGAAGCATACAGAAACTGCAACTGGTCTAGCTTCCCGATATCTGGCGATATAGATCCACTGAGCTTGTGATCAGGGAGGATTCTGAATGATAAAAGAAAAAACAATTATAGTAGTTCACATAGTAGATTTCAATACGTAAAAGGCTACATTAGAAGTAAAGTATCAGTCCGTTAGAATGTTAGGTCAGTGTCAAGTATTAGTATTAAATTAGTCTCTTATTAGTTAAATACAAAATGTCGGGTAGTTACTCGCATGTTAGATACAAAATTGCTTAGAGATAATGTTTTGTAGGGATATTCGGTGAAGATACTAAATCCAGGCCATTTGACAAGTAGCAACTGTAAAACAGTGCTAGAGAATCAGCCCTACAGAAATGCAACATAATGCAATCAAAAACGCTTCCACGTATTGTCAAGATCAGCTGCAATTCAGTTCTACAAGATCAAAAATCCAATTTGATCCAGAAATTACCTTCCCAACTACTGAGGGTTCTCAGCATTTATTTAGTGTAATTTTATATCAAAATATTTCTATTTCTGAATTATGGAGCCCAAAATAATATGTGAAAATAGAAAAATAACTAGAACCGCAACAATGCCATCACCGGCAGAGATGTTTTAACAAAAATACAGATACTCACAATGATATAACTCTCTTTGATTTTGGGTCACAAAGTACTCCTTTCCAGCCACATGGGTCCGAATCTTCTGGTCTCCACTGCTTAAGAACACCATCTGAACCAAGTACTGAGATCCTAAAGTTGACAAGCGCTTGACCTGCGAAGATGTGGAAAAGTTTAAAGTGTGGACTAAAGTGTAACTCTTACAATATGGAACAAGCTTCAGATTACACACATCCATTATCAAGTGCGGCAGTATCAGCATTACATTCACGTAATTTTTTTACGTAACAACGGAAAAGAAACTCAACAGCATCAGAAGACTGAAAATATCCAATTATTAGAGGCTAACAAGTTCCAACGGACAATCACCTTGCGATCTACTTTATTAAATAACAGAGATTTGTCCTTGATTTAGAAAACTGACCAAAGAACGAAACCTGTTATATCAACTGGATCAAGCATGTTATATTTCTCGACATACTCTCATCAACTGAAATACACGGGTGACTAGCCTGTAACCTATATAGACAAATCAAGTAAGAAATACTGAAGAAAGGTGTGACATCGCACCATCAGGACTGAGAGCTAGCGCAACTCTTGAGAAAATGCAAAGCAGCAGCACACTTGAAAACAACAGCTCCCGAATTTTCAAAGAGAAGCCGCCCATCTCGGCGCAGGTCAAGCATAATAAGGCTACTGAAGAACATCTGACAGACTACGCTGCGCTGCAGTTCCCTTGGACATACAGTGAACAAGATGTGACACCAAGAAACCAGCAATGAAAAACGAGAAATGCTCCCTGGAGGAACACAAACACAGCAAAAGATATTAGAAAGAATCCTGTTATGATCAAGGCAACTTTTATAACTGAAATAACATAGAAAAACATAAACAGCGAATCTACAGATAATTCTCACAGATCGGTGCATATTATTTCCAATTGTTCAACTACATTGACATGCAGTTGACACTTGTCTTGCAAAAACTACGTTGAGAACATTAAATTGTCCCCCGGAATCATACACATGATGTGAAGACTACATTTCGCAATGTAGACATAACTTCTCAAACATAGAGTAGGATGTTCATTCCAAGAATATTACTATTCTTCCATAATGCTTTATTGCGACCCAAGACTCTTACTGGATTACCAAATCATGTCAGTAAATTTTGCACTAGGTTCAGAGCACATATATTGTAGAATACGGAGAACAAATTAGTTGCGAAAATTCAGCTTAACGACAGAAATATACATGAACAGCATGAATCAGGGAAGAAGAGTACTGATTTTGAGTCTGTCATTAAGAGAGTAATAGTCCCTGCCACCTGACACAAGTTTGAAAAGAATGCTACTTGCACATACTAGTGTTATTATTAATAGGACAAATGAAATCTAGATTAACAAATATATTCACATGCATGTATGTTGGGCAACCAAATATTTTGAAGCCGGAATGATTAGCAAGACTAACAAATCATGCTTTCATCGGAGTCTTCAAATGTGCAGAGGGAGCAAGGTTGACAATATAACAAGATGTTGCAATGGCTTCAAAGGTGCAGGGAACATGGCTGACACTATTTGCATCCTTGATGGATTTACATACTTGTATTTGGGCAACCAAATATGTTGAAGCCGAAATAATTAGCAGGATTATCTAATTTTTTTCTTTGGATTATCAAAGTACAAAGGTGCAGAGGGAGAATGATTGACAATATAACAAGTTGTTGCAATGGCTTTTGCTTAAACAGTCATGGATCAACCTAACAGTTGAGATCATGTGCGAGCTCTTTCCAAAAGAGTCTTGTTCATCCTTTCTGCCACAATATTTTGTTGAGGCGTCATCTTTTTAATAAGATAAATAATTCTATCAATAATGGGCAGATCTCCGAACACAAGCAGTATGCCAAAAAGTAGAAAATCTGTAACATCATATGATTCTCTACTAAAGACACCAATATTCTGCACATTGGAACTTCATGGGTACACAAAAAGAAAACTAGGAACGAGAGGCTTTTCCTTAAATGTACATAATCGTTCTCTGTTCCTTCAAAACTTTCCTTTTTCATTCCTTCCACAGGACACACATGAGTTCTTCTGGAGCAACATCACATCTTAGTAGTGTAGTGTCGAGCAATTGCTTCATTCTTGCAAAACGTCTTAAATTCATCAATATGGAATTCCAAGTCATTATCCGTTCTAAGTTGCTTGATTTGTTTTCCTTTCTGCTTTTGTGAAGGTGAAATAAATTTACTATATCAACCAAAACTATGCTAATATAGAGATTTGTAACGTCATGTCATGATCTATTTCTTGGCCTTTTTATGAAAGCACTGTTGCCCAATATTTGGTCAAACATTTTAAGCATTGTTGGCTAATTGCCCAAACCTTTTCTTAGAATTGGGGTCAATTCCGAAGATCGGGTCTTTTGTAGATAATCATGTTCTTATGTAAATTCTCTACTTTTTGGTATACTTCTTGTACACGGGAGTTTTTCTCCTTTTGATTAATACAATTTACCTTATCAAAAAAAAATTAGGGTCAATTCCCTCTCACTTTAGACACATCATTAAGAAATTGAGAAGAACAATTTTGGTGTTTTCTCTTGTATCAAAATAGAGAATATTCTGTGGAAGAGTTAAGGGTGGGAGAATACTTGTTTGAACCTCTTTGTGAGTGTTTTGTGTAAGATTATTCTCTCTGATTATTTTTGGGTTAATTATGGTTATCTCTAGTTTTGCATGCTCTTTTGTATACTTTTTGATATATAGAACTGATCCTCTCTGCACATGGCCATAGGTCTTTTTGACCGAACCACGTAATGTTTGTGCCTCCTTATATGCTTTATGTAACATCATTTTTTACTTGTTTTGTCTAATCCCGCACTATCCAGAATTTCGATCCTAACATAACGACCTTCTAACATGTACCAGTTCCAAGAGTCCTAAAAGTGAGAAATTTTAAACCTTTACTGCTTCTTTCCTGACAAAAAATAAAACCAATTACATGCTTGATCTTGACCAAACATAGGAGCATTAAGAGCACCATTTCCACTTCATCCAGAACACGCTCACCCCTTTTTTCAACTGAAACTACAGAATTTCAGCACTCTCACAAAAAGCAGACACATGTATAGAACCCCAAAACCAATGTACACCAATCACAGCATTAAGTTCTATCCAAACAAAAGATTCAACAAAAAATCTGATCTTTATACACACACTAACATATAAAAAACCAAAATCAAACACCTGAAAATGCAAATATGAAACCCACAATCACCAAATACCAAAACCAATGTACCCACAATCACCAAATACCAAAACCAATGTACACCCATTAATGCACTCAGTAGATCAAAGCTTTATACAATACACTAACACAAGCACAACCAAAACCCAAACCTGAAAATGCAAAAATGAAAACCCACGACCCCCTAAACGCCAAAAGGACAAAACCAAGTACACCCGTCTAAGCACTCAGTACAATCCAACAAATTTTTTGAAAATTAAAAGCTTTATAATACACTAAATATAACAAAAAAGCGCAAAAGCAGTACCTGAAAATGCTAGATTCGATCTGCAAGTGAGTACCCAACGTTCATTTCACAGTGATACACAAAAAGGTTGAAGTTTGAGCTGTAAAATTTAAGTTAGAGTAACACAGAGAAAAAGCTAAGCCTTTGCCATGACAGAGTGTGGATTTTGGCTGCTGTGTATAAAATAAAATCTTTTTGGTGTTGTTGAATGGAGGTAGATTTGAGATTTTTGAGAAATTAAAAATGGTTACTGGGACTGGCTGGCTCATCAGTGGGAACCAATGAGAGTGGAGTGGGTTCGTACGTGGAGAGTGACTCCTCATGCGTGCGACCGACGCTGGTGATGGAGTGGGGACTCAATTGCTGTGAGGGATACAAGCTACAATCAGAAAAATCTCAAAAAAAATTAGGAAAAATAGTAATTTTGGTCCTTGAGATATTGCTTAATTTCTTTTCTAGTCTTTGTAATATTCCACATAGCACATTCAACCTTTAATTAAAGGGTGATTGACATAGTTGTACACAACAATAAAATTATTTACCCTTCCTTATCTATTTACTTTTCTGCCAATTAAACTAATTACATTTCCTACTCACATAAACTTTTGTGGGTAATTTCCTCTTTTTTCTCCTTTTCTTTTTTATTTCTCTGCTTCTTTTCTTTTCTCTTTTCTCTTTTTTCTCGTTTTCTTCTCTCCTTTTTTCACTTTTTCTTTTCATTTATTTTTTTTCCCAAGCCATCTTATTATTATTTTTACCATAATTTATTTCACACTTAGTTTGGCTCCATCTTTGTTTATTTTTTCCTTTTGCTTATTTCTTTATTTGTTGTTCCTTTTCTAATTTCATTTAACTCCTTTTTTCTTTTATTTTTCTTTTTCTCTTCATAGTCTAACTTCATTTATTATTATTTTTTGCTCTTTTTATTATTCTTCTTTTTTATATAATAAAAAAAGATAATTGATATAAAAATATTTGTTCACCTTTTTTAAAAATAACAGATATAATATAGAGTTTGTCCTTTTTTTTTTTCTTTTTTTCTTTTTTTAGTTCAATTACTAGAACAACTTATACATTATAATTGTTTTTAGTTGGGTTCATGATCATTTTTGGTACAGCGTGTTGAGGTTGTTACGGTATTTGTATGTTAGAATCATGTCTCGTAGAGAATTTTGGCTGCTAAAATTCGGTTCTAAGGCTTGTGGGTCAAGGTAGCAGGAAGGATCTTCAGTAGCTGGCCTAGCAGATGACTCTTAGTTAGACTGGTACTAGTTAGGATATCACATAAGGGGAATCCCATTCTAGGAGTTCTCTGGCTCGAGCTAATGTGCTCACATGGGTTGTGGTAACACGGGAGGATGCATGAGGTGTCAAATAGTGATTTGGGCAATTGCGAAGTAGTTCTTGGCACGTTCAAGGACGAACGTATATTTAAGTGGGGGAGATTGTAACAACCAGACCGGTCATTTTGAGCTCTAGTGCGTCGTTCGGCTGTTTGAGGTCTTGAGTAGTTTCAATTCATGTTTTATAACTTGTACGCGTAGTCGCAATTGGATTTTGGAAATTTCGGAGTTGACTTGGATGGAAATTTCTCATTTTAGAAGCTTTAAGTTGGAAGAGTTGATCAAGGTTTGACTTTTGAGTAAATGACCTCGAAATCGAGATTTGAAGGTTCCAATAGGTTCATATGATGATTTCGGACTTGGGCGTATGTTCGGGTAGAGATCGGGTGGCCCAAGAACATTTCGGCGCTTATTATGGGAAGTTGGCAATTTGAAAATTTTAGAATTTTTTAAGTTTGGTTTGAAGTGGATTTTGATGTTATTGATGTCTATTTGGGGTTTCAATCCTCGGAATAGGTTTATATTGTGATTTGTAACTTGCACGTAAAATTTAGCGTCATTTCCGAAATGTTTAAGTGTAATTCGGACGCGTTCGGCGAAGTTTGAAAGTTGAAAGAAGGGTTTTGATCGTCGATTCATAGTTTAGATGTTGTTTGGTGTGATTTAAGGCCTCGAGCAAGTTTGTATCATGTTTTGCGACTAGTTTGTATGATTGGACAGGGTCTCGGGGGCCTCGGGTGATTTTCGGATGGGCTGCGTGCCATTTCGCCATGTTTGGACTGTTGTTTCTGGTGTCTGGTGCTTACTTTGCGTTCGCGAAGCTTTGGGCGGTAGTGTACCGCGATCGCGAGGGAGAGGCCGCAATCGCGTAGAATGTTAGGCGGGAAGGGGCACTAGGTGATTTGTCCTACGCGTTCGCGAGAGTTTGGTCGCGTTTGCGTAGGGACTATGGAGTTGACCATCGCGTTCGCGACCAGTGTGTCACGTTCGCGAAGAACGATTTGGCAGTTGGTCAAGGTTGGTCTTCACGATCGCGAGGGCTTGTCCACGATCGTGAAGAAGTGAATTGCTGGGAAAACTTATTTTATTTCGGGTTTGGGTTCATTTCTTCCACTTCTCACATGGTTTGGCGGTATTTGAAGCTCTTCAAGAGGAGATTTCATCATCTATGGCAAGGTAAGTAATTCACACATATTGTAAGTTAATTACATGGATTCTATAAGGATTTAAACATGAAAATTGTTATAAATTGTGAGTTTTTTTTAAGAAACCCATAATTTGATATTTTTGGATTTTGACCACAAAATTGTACATGGAATTATGAATAAATTATATATTTGAGTTAGTGGTGTTTGGCACGAGGGTTGACTTTTCGAGCGGAGTTGGAAAATGTAATAAATTAATTAACTATGAGTGTGGGGTATATTTTGATTGATTTGTTCATTGTTTGACTAGTTTCAGATCGATGGGCATTGGTTGAGGTGTTAGGGGGCATTTGAGTCGGTAATAGAACTTCAGAGCGAGATAAGTCTCCTGTCTAACCATGTGAGGGAGAAACTACCCCGTAGGTGTGTATTCGTTAAGTGCTACTTGTTGTGGGGGCCATGTAAGCACGAGATGACGGGAATCCATATGTAGCTAATATCATGTTTATGTCTGGGTAGACTTAGGACTTCAACATACAATAATTGTATTATCTGAATTCAACCTGTTAGTTTAATTACCCAAGACTTATAAGTAAAATGTGATTAGAGATCATGTTAAGATCAATTCTCATTACCTTGAGTTGTTGGCAAGATATTCGAAAATTGATAAAAGTCATGATTACTTTACATTCCCGTTTTTATACTGCAAACACGTAGTCCGTAGTTCGATAAGTTTCTTCTCTTCCCAAGAATCGGGTCGAACGCCTCGATAATATATGTATATATGAGATGCATCAATGGATCGGGCCCTATGACCTCGGCAATGTATGTACACGACTATATGATCCGGTCGAACGACCTCGACATAATTCGTGCGTAAAATCGCTAGGAGTCTGAATACCCACAAGATTACCCTCTTGATTGTGGACTTTGAAATTACACGATATTCCTCGTGACCGGAGATCATATATTTGTTTGACGATGCTTATTTGTTGAGATGGCATGTGCTATATGAAAATTTTAAATTGATATTTCGTTAAAAGCTCATGTTGATTATTGTTTCCTATTCTATTGATCTCGTTGTATTTCATGTATGCTTATGATTCTTGCATCTTATTTATTAGACCACTAGTAAGTGTCGATGTTGACCCCTCGTCACTACTTCTCCGGGATTATGCTAGATACTTACTGGATACACATTGATTTACGTACTCATGCTACACTTCTGCACTACATGTGCAGGATTTGACAGGTTCCTTTGATGGTCATCTTGGCACGTAGGCGCAGCTGCTGAGGGGACTTTATGGTGAGCTGTATTCTATGCTAAACATTGTAGCCCTTAGAGTCTCCATCTTATTTATTTACTTTATCCTATCTATTTTATATTCCAGACATATGTTGTATTATTATTGTACTCCTTTAGTAATGCTCATGCACTATTGACACTGAGTCTTGGGATACTCTAGTGGTTATTTATGGTTCGGTTTGATATTGTTATCTTTTATTTTATATCTTACTAATATTATAAGTATTCATGATTTAATGTATCAGATTCTTTACTTAATAAAACTTATGATTTCAAAAATAATAAAGTGAATAATTGGATTGATAGTTCACCGTTGGCTTACCTAACGTCGACGTTCAACGTCATCGCGACCTATAGTGGGAATTGGGTCATGACAAACGCATTCTCCAGTATGAGTTTGAGAGGATAGTTCATGCATACCGCTGTCAATTAGTGCCAATGATATGACTTATAAAAAAATTGATAATGATGTGTTAATTCTCACCTCAGAGGAAAATAACCTAAAATTATCATATTCAGTGGAAGGTTTTTGGGGAGACGTAGTAGTTAATTCAGCATCACTTCTCTATGGTGTTCAAATCATGTCCCGATTTGAAGATTTTGGGCCACCTCCAGACCTATGACTAGTTCTATTTGCTCGTCATATGTGCAGTCCCCTTCTCATTATACTCCAATCACTTAACAATTCATCCCTTCTCAAAATGAATGCACTCTTGCAAACAAAATTTAGAAAGAGAAATCGGCTTCATTCGTTTGAAAGGAAAGAGAACGGAAGCCCTATAGTCCCCTCTCCTATTCTACCTAGAAGTCTTTTCTTACATGTCAATGCTTCATGTATTGCATCACATTGCCATAGCAATCCACACTATTCATCCTTCCTTGTAGTGATTCATGTTCAAAAATATTTTCAATCCTTTATAATTATTATGGTCTTTATTTTTCTTCAATTATATTTATTTAAATGGCCAACTTGTCTTTCCATGAAACCATGCATCATGCAAAGTCCTTAATATTTGCATGCTTATGTTCTTCTTTTGTTTTTTTCTTTGTTTTGGGTGTGGTTAGGAACACCTTTTTATGGATTACATGGTGTAAAAATTGGGTACAAGTAAGTATTTACCAAACAGTAGAGTACATCAGTTTCTTCTAGCATCCAGAGTTCCAGACAGGAATTGATTGCCATTTGGGCCATTTATATTCAAATAGTAAATGGTCAGTGTGGAAAGTGATTGTTCTCCTTCACGAAAATGTTCCTGGAATCTCAAATCATTTCTTATGAATACTTTTTTTAGAACTGATCATGTAGATTGTATACTAGTGACAAGGCTCATTATTTTATTTTAAAGTTTTTAAGAAGCTAAGCAATATTAGTATATTTCTTTGTTAGTTCATTTATGGATACTATTATTTTTAAATTATGAATAATTGTTAGCCCTTTGATTT